CTTTGGATCTCAGCACACAAACAGCAGCTAACTAGGAACACATTAAATCACCTACCAGCAAAGAATCCACAATTTATGGCCGCAAATCAAATCGTCGCCACAATCAACACGTCTGTCTGTGTTCACAATAGAGCCAAGTCCTAAAGCTGAGTATCGATCAGTGGATTCAATTAAAACTGTGTGTGCATTGGCCGGGAACGGAACCCGGGTCTCCCGCGTGGCAGGCGAGAATTCTACCACTGAACCACCAATGCTGGATGAGCAGCAGGAAATACCATATTTGGAGAAAAATGTCAAGTCACAACTACAGTGACGGCGGCGGGTTTCAGTTTGAAAGAAACAAAACACAACATGAGCTCAAAAATGAGATGAAATGATTAGAAAAAGGCCACAAAGACACATTAGATGAGCACAAAGGAAGCAAAATGCCAAAACCTACACAAAAATGTTCGCTGTTTTGTCAACTTTTTATGTTTTTTCCAAATATGGTATTTCCTGCTGCTCATACAGCATTGGTGGTTCAGTGGTAGAATTCTCGCCTGCCACGCGGGAGGCCCGGGTTCGATTCCCGGCCAATGCACATACAGCTTTAATTGAATCCACTGATCGATACTTGGCTCTATTGTGAACACAGACAGACGTGTGAATGATTTGATTTGTGGCCATAAATTGTGGATTCTTTGCTGGTAGGTGATTTAATGTGTTCCTAGTTAGCTGCTGTTTGTGTGCTGAGATCCAAAGCAGCAGCTGTTGCAGCTGAAAACGAAGCTCTGCATGATGCCTCTCATACACTTTTACTGCGAAATCCCAGTTATAGCTGATTCAAGGTTTCAGATGCACAACTGGAGACCACCAGATGTATCTTTATTATGCTTCAGCTCATCTAGAGGTACTTTTAATTGTTGACTATAGGAATCAGTTAAAACAGTGCATGCATTGGCCGGGAATCGAACCCGGGCCTCCCGCGTGGCAGGCGAGAATTCTACCACTGAACCACCAATGCTGGCTGAGCAACAAGAAATACCATATTTGGAAAAAAGTAATCTCTTCACCAGTTCATTGAAGCGTTTACGGACTTCATAATGTAACTGGTGGATGATGTCATTCTCATGGTGACGGTTCATCAGAACCAGAGGGTCGACACATCTATTCAGAACGTGTACACCGCTGCTACAACTCAGGTGTGGTTGAATACAAGACGAGCAGTAACAGACACTTCACGGAGGTTTAAGGACAAAGAAGCTGGTCGTTGCCAGAGATCAACAGGAGCAGAGAATCAGACACTGTTTTGGCTAATGACCTCAACACTTTCTACATACAGTGAAGCTAGCACGAGCATGCTAACCAGACACCACTGCTGTTAAAACTGTGTGTGCATTGGCCGGGAATCGAACCCGGGCCTCCCGCGTGGCAGGCGAGAATTCTACCACTGAACCACCAATGCTGGATGAGCAGCAGGAAATACNTCTGTCTGACTCCGGCTCCTCTCTCTGCTGCCGACGTTTCACGGTTGGTTCTGGGTTCCGGGTTCTGTCGGGAGCTCCTGGGTCCAGCTGATCGGGGTGTGCTGCGGCTCTGCTCGCCGTCCTGGACCTCCGGCCTACTTCTCTCAGATCACAGAGTTTCTGCTCTTCGGTGTCACAGCTGCTCGGTGAGGTCCGGTCCGACCCAAAGCTCTGCATGTAGAACAACAGAGGAGGTTCTAGAATCACACCTGCTCTCATTTCTACACGTTCCCCACTACAAAGTGATGGGAAACAACTACACAGACACATACGATACAAACATGACAAAAAAACAGAACAGACAAAAACAACCCAACAAACGTCTTTTTGTGACTGTTTGTGAGCATTAGTAGAAGCTTTGTCTTATTTTGTGACCATTTTCTAGCTATGTTGTCCTTTTCTGTGCTCATGAAACCTGCCTCCTTCACTGTAGTTGTGACTTGACATTTTTTCCAAATATGGTATTTCCTGCTGCTTGTCCAGCATTGGTGGTTCAGTGGTAGAATTCTCGCCTGCCACGCGGGAGGCCCGGGTTCGATTCCCGGCCAATGCATGCACAGTTTTAACTGATTC